CGAGTGGATTCATGTCATAGAGAAACACATGACAGCCAAAGGGTACTCGAGTTCTGAACACAACTGGAAGTTATTGTATCGCACCTTCACTGAGCACTACATCAAAGTACACCAGTTTTACGGCCGTTCACTTGTAACCACTGAATGTAACAATAAAATTGTTTTTTTGTTGATTTGTTAGGCACTGGATAAGAGTGTAACTGTCAGTGAACTGCAGAATCGATTCCCATTCACCGATTTCTTCAACCAATTGCTGGTAAATCCAATCAATGGTCTCTACGATCAAGTGATGAAATTTAGGGATCAGTTTGTGTCCAAACTATTGGCGAACAAAGATTGTGGCAAACAATATAAGATAATGGAGCGAACGATTCAACAGCAAAGATATGAGGAATGGCTGCGTAATCGGCGGAATGGCTTTCAGACGAGATTGGAGTCTAATATCGTTGACATTAAACGACTGAATCTAATGGTTAGAGTGATCAGTGAATTGAAACTCACTTCAAAAAACCACGAATCGTCTAATCTCTTCGCGAAGATATCAAATAAATTGCTTGAAAACGGCATTAATTGGGAACCGCATGAATGTCGGCGAACACTATGTCATTGGATTGAGTTTTATGAGAGGGTATGCCATATATTGTTCACCTAATCATTACTTATGGTGTTTATCTGATCCTCAGAATTACGACAACTATAAGCTGTCTGTGAAAGAGGGCAACAGAATCGTTGAATACATCTATCAATACCTCAATTCCATAGACAAGTATACATCGGATTTAAAATTACTTTTCGGTAAAAATAATAATATTTATTATTCATTGCGTAAGATTGAGAAGTGTGTCACTAAATACAAATAAATAATCATTGTTATTTAATGATCCCATTTGCTTTAAGAATTCATTACACAATACTGTATTTCATGAATAAATAAATCATAATTTTGTAATCAATTATTTGATACCATAATCATTATCTTTGGTTATGATACCTATTAAATAATATAATAATAGAGTGATAACTAATTTAACACAAATAGTTTAAATGAATGCAGTACCAGGTATAATGGTCAAATAATGCTTTAAGAATATGACTCATATGAGCCTGGTAGTGTATTTTGTAAAGTTAGTCAAATTATGAATTAAAGGATTGCACTGTAAAAGTACAGCATTATATGAGTGACCCCTAACCATACACTCACTTGTGTTTCTCACTGTTGCCTTCAGTTGTGTTCATAAAACCAATTGTTATTTCAGTTTTAATTCATTCATTATAATTAACAATCAGTATTTTATTACCGTATTGTGTCTCATGTGAAGTTAATTTATAAAATGAGTGAACCTTTTAAATGTATGTTTGAATACAACAACAGTTCATACGATATAGAGATAAGCGATGATAAGTCACCACAAGTTGTCTTTCAAAGTATTTTCACGAAAATCCAAATAATCATACAATTAGTTCACAACAAATCGGTTTCATTTGAAACCAACAAATTTGAGGCAAAATTTACACTCATTTTTCACTTTTTAAAGTAAAGGTTTTAATTTGAATTTTTGTAACATTTGAATAGGTTTTCAATGCAATTAATGGCAATAATTATCATCTCTTGAGTGCAAATGATTTGAACAAATATTATGTTCAGACAAATACTTTCCTCAAAGTGTCTGATCTCGGAGATGGTGAGAGCACTGGTATTGATAGTCGACCATCAGTTGCATGTACTTCACCAGTAAATAGTGGCGCGGATTGTAATGCAAATCCAGTTGCCATTGATGTTCACAAAACCATTACTGCATTGAATACGATTGAATCCATTGGTGTCAATGGGCACGGACTCAATGCACCGCCCATTCAAATGTATACCGATTTGTTAACCATTTGTATGGATTACTCACAAAATAATTGTGATTTAATCACTAAATACGAGTGGATTCATGTAATCGATAAGCGAATGGTAGCCAAAGGATACACCAGTTCTGGCAACAAATGGATGGTATTATATCAGGTTTTCATTGAACACTATTTCAAAGTATTACTTCATTTCAAATCACTAAATATACAGAATTTTGTGTTAAATGTATTTTTATGATCGTTAGGCTCTGAATAAAAGTATGACTCTCAATGAACTGCAAAATGAGTTCCCATTCGCCCATATCTTCAACCAATTGATATTCAATCCAATCAATAGTCACTACAATCTGTTGATGCAATCGCGACAACAATTTATGTCCAAACTATTGAAGAACAAAGAGTTTGGTCCACACTATGAGACAATGGAGCGAACCATTGAACAGCAAACTCACCAGAATTTGTTGCGTTATCGACGGAACAGCTTTCAGAAGCGATTGGAGACTAATATCGTTGACATTAAACGACTGAATCTAATGGTTCAAGTGATCAGTGAATTGAAACGCATACCAAAACACGAAGAATCGTCTCATCTTTTTGAGAAGATATCATATAAATTGCATAAAAATGGCATTCATTGTGTACCGTATGAATGTCAGCGATCTCTCTGTCGTTGGATTGAGTTTTATGAGAGGGTATGCCATATAGTTGTAACCTAATTGTCAATTATGGTATAGTGTTTATTTGATCCCCAGAATTACGACAATTATAAGCTGTCAGTGAAAGAGGGCAACAAAATCGTTGAATACATCTATCAATCATTGAATTCCATTGCTATGTATTCATCGGATTTGAAACTACTTTTCAGTAAAGATAAACCCATTTTGCATTCATTGCGTAAGATTGAGAAATGTTTCAATACGTAATAATTTGTTATAATTTGTTATTTTAAAATTAAGAATACATTACAGAATATTATGTTATATTAATTTCAAACAAATCAGAATTTTATAATTCAAACATTTACGGTAATCTTATAATAAACACATAAAACCTTTGTTAATCTATTAACTACCTTAACGCAAAAATAGAGTACCGGTAATAAATTATAAGACATGAGAATACAAGTAGATTAGAAATTATCAAAAAAATTACATATCAATACAACTAATTATCAACTTATGTTAATGCCTTGAGCAAATTGTTATGATTTCATTGATTACTATTATTGTAATTGAAATGTAAAAATCAACCAAATATAAGATATAAAAGTTAAGATATTGAACTGAATATGATTTTGAAAATTGTAAACCAGTCAAAGTTGTTATGAAAGTACGATATAAGACACTAATTATACAAAAATATTTGTCTCACTATTGGTGATCAGACAAACCATTTCCAAAGACTGCCTTGAGTTTAGTATAAGGTGTGTGAGCATTGAAATTGTGGACATACTTCTCAATGAGCATTATTTTGCGATAATTGACATCATTTGGTCGGTAAATGCTCTTCAAATTGGATGAAAAGGTTGTGATTGCGTTCAAAAAGCCGTAAATGTATTCAACGATTCGGTTGCGCTTTTGGAGACAATACT